ATCCACCAGAAAAGAACTCAGATTTATAATTTGCCAAGGCTACACCATAATGTAGGTTATATTTAGTCTTGAATTTTGCCTCTAGGCAAATCCACCTAGCCATAGAAAAATGGCCAAATGTTAACTTTGACTCTAATTCTAATTTATTATTGAATTAATTGAATTAGTATTAGAGCAAAGCAATATTTCCCATATCATTTAGCATGCAAAACCCTCCTGATTTAATTTACTGTAATTGAGTAGTTGAAAGAACTGAGGGTGTGAAATAGGATTCTACCTGTTTTCCATCAAATAGGAGGTAATTCTGTGAAAGATGTCTTAAGGAATATTAAAAAGAAGGTATTGAATATGTAAATTTTATGAAAGCACTGTTCAAATCATAAAACATATTTCTTGTTAACTTAAATAACAAATTTAGCAATCAAGATGCCTATTTTTTAGAAGTATATTTTCTCTAAGTAAGGGCAATTCAAAATTAGTGAGAAAATACATTTTAAAATTTACCTCATTGCTTTTCAACCTAAAATTCAGGCACAAAGCTTTTTAGTATAAATGTGTGTGTTTGTGTGTGTGTATATGTAAATATATATGGATGCAAATAGTTTTACCTATTTTCCTACATGAGGCTATTTGCCCTGAAAAATAAAGCATGATTTGTGTCAATTTGTATGACTTTGAAATGATTTTTACAGTGAGATAATTGAAATATAAAAATCTAAAAACTATTCATCTTCTGGTAACTTCATAAATGCAGCAGCCAATGACTTACCATAAAATACAATTTGTCAGCTTTTAAGATATGAGCTAAACTTGCTTGTTCAGACTTGGGCATAGATAAGAAACCTGAATATTTAAGCAAGACACACTCTAGTTTTACAGTTGCTCAGAGATTTAAATAAGGCAGAATGATTGTCTATCACAGCTCATAATAATGCTCTTAAATTTAGAGCTCCAAATACCCCCACTCACCAGTCGGCATGTTTCTCAAAGCTGCAGACTGAAAAACTGCAGCTGTGTTTATGTGGTAATTTCGAGCCCCTATTACATATGCAAGCAACTGGGCTCCGTGGCTCAATCGCAATGCATTCATTTTGCTTTTTTTGTATCGAAGAAACAAAATCAGAGAACTATATAGCATTATGGCCAGCTCTTTAAATCACAAAAATCAGGAGATTGAAAATTATAGCCCCACAAAAAACAGTCTTTTCCATTCGCCATTAAATAACGTTTACAACAGACATTCCAGATATATGTGTTTAAGGTATGGTGTTAAGCTCAGCAAACATTTATTAAGGCAATAAAAAAGAAAAACCCATGTTATCATAATAAGATGAATTAAAGCATAAGTAAGGCAGGCCTCTTCCCCGAGGATTTTGGAGCCTAACAGGAGGTACCCGGAATCAAATACTATGGTGGAGGGCAGGGGCGGGGGGTATACAAATAGGTAATATTCTCTATGGAGAAGACCAATAAACAGACTGAGATTGTTTCCAGATATTAATAAAATTCTGAAATATTTTCTTTTGGGGATATTGCCGATCAGTGCAATCCATAGTACTTGTGATTCACAAAGCAACAACATCTGAAGTATTGTCACAGGGACCCCAGCAAAAGTATGGGTAGTTCATCTCACGAGATACAGGGTCTGGCACAAATAACTGCCCTTTTTTACTACAAAATCCTACGCATGTAATTCTGTAACATAACAACATCACGCTCAAGCGCACCATATGACATTTTAGGTGAAATGTTCAAATTGCTGTCCATCTCGTGCAAGACAGTCGCGTACCTTACCAACCACACTCAGGCAGGCCTTGCTTCTGCTGGGCCCTGTATAGTAGTCAGATTCTGAAACATTGTGTAAGAATTTTGTTTCTGTGTAAATGCAACACTACTTTAATACTATATAATGATTAGCTCAATTTTTAAAAATTATATTCTAATTTAGGAATTTTTATAAATCTGATCTTGTCTCATTATTTTGGCTTATCAAATATATGTGCATGGGATAAGGAGAATGTACTGGCTTATTGCAAGAAAAAAGTTTATTCTGAAACATCCAAACACTTTTTTTAAAGGTGATATAGAGAAGTGAAACTTTTATAATTATACTGGAACATAAATAAGGTTGTTTCCAATTTACTCTTGGGTTACATTTCAGCTGTTAAGCTGATTGGAATGCAAAAGTTTCTGCGGGAAACAACCTCTTACATGCTGGGTTTTCAAGAAAGCTCACAAAAGCAATTTATGTACAGTAAGACTCTGTAGTAATTATTCTTTGACCCCTTTTTTTTTCTTTAACTTTTGAGTGCTTCAGGAGAGGGAGTACCTCAAGGTTCTTATTCCTCCACCTCAGTAGCCAGAGTGTTTGCAACCTCTAAGTCACAGTGATGGCTAAGCCCGAGCTCCTGAGGTAATTTTATCTAAGCAGCCATAGGAAAGAACCTCTGTCACTGAGATTCATGAAAGGAAAAGGGACATCAAAGAGAATGACCCCTTTTTAAACTTTTTAATCTATAAACACCTAGACAGATGATAGATGGATAGACAGGTGGATAGATAGGTAGATAGATAGATGATAGATGGATAGATAGACAACAGACAGATATACAAAGAGAAGATTACTTAGAGTCATAGGAAAAGATAACTGTATACATACACATAGTATACATCCAATAGTTAAAAGCCTGATTGCAAAGTCTGGCTACATGGGACCTGATCTCTGACTTGTTACTTGGAAGTTGCATAATTTCAGGCAAGTAATTAAACATCTCTAGTTTCCAGGTTCCCTATGAAAAAATAAAATAGAGATAATACTATTGAGCTCACACAATGTGGTAAAGGAGCAATTGAAACAATCCATATAAAGTGAACAGTGCAAGTCCAGAACATGGGAAGCAGCAGAATTTTATGGCACATAGTTGAAGGCTACAGGGATACAGAGAAAAGCATATTCAAGTGTTGATCGGTTCCAGTTTAACTAGATTTGTGACCTTGAATAGGTCATTCAATTTCCTTGAGACTCAATTTCTTCAGGTAAAATGAGGGAATAGATACAGATAAACTAGAGTTTCTTAAACATTAATGTGCACAGAATCACCTAAGGATCTAGTTAAAATTCAGACTTTGAGTCAACAGATCTGGGGGTAGAGGCAGGAGGTTCAAGGTTCTGAACTTCGAATGGGCTTACGAAGCTGATGCTGCTGGCCTAAGTACCACGCCTTGGGCAGCCATGATCTAGATGGTACCCAGCAAGAGTCTCCTCCAGCTTCAAAGCTGTAGTTTATAATTATGATAGTGGCCCATTTTTTTCCACATAAAGAAAGGATGAAGGATTTGCATTCGCTTGAGAGGAAAACCAGTATCAAATTATCCTGGCTATTATATCTCTAATGCACCAATGGATCGTGGAAGCGAAGGCCAGGACATAGCGAAGGGGTCAGAAGGTGGCTGGCTGCTGAAAAGTTGGACCAAGGAAGATTTTCCTGATGTGGTCCTCGGACAGAGGCAGTTTTAAGAAGTGGAGGTAGGCTGGAGGATATTTAAGCTGGGAGATTCTTTTTTCTTGATTCTGGAAGGAAGCATGGCATGATACTGAAGAGTAAGCGTTTTGTTTGAGGGCGTGTGTGTGTGTGTGTGTGTGTGTGTGATCAACTAGACATGAACCGTTTTCCCAGCTCTGCATCTTAATTGCTGCCCTTGAGCAAATGGCTTAATTTTTCTTGACTTCATTCTCTCTTCTATACAATGAGAATAACAGTATTCTGTTGGACTCTTGTGAGAGGGAATTACATGAGCTAGTGCCTAAAGTTCATAGCATAACAAAAGAGTGTTCATTAAAATGACCATCACCATCACCATCACCACTATTATTAAGTTTGGCACACTGGAAGAATGAGCATTAGTATCTCAATTCTCTTTCAGTTTCTACGGCAGTGGTTCTGGTGTAACTTAGGAGTCAGCATGAGTTCGCTGAGAATAAGTATCTCAGGCTAGCTTTTTTTTATTGTTATGATTGCTACATTGGTAAATTAGAGAAATGATGTAGGCATATGTATTGGACTAGCTGGAAATAGGAGGCAATATGAATGCGTGTTGAGTGGGAGAAGTGTCATCCTGGGTAGACGTTTCTTACAGTTTGCCCTTAGATTCTACCCTCCGTCTTGTCTCACTCTTTCTCAATTTGGATGTAAACATAGGAGGCAACCTAAGCCAGAATATGACACATTACCATTCCCCACAGGGGTTAAAATGCAGGCAAGAAGACCACTTGACAGGAGTAATAGAGAAAGAATTTGGAAGCTTGGAAGGGAGTCCAGGGTAGATTCTGAGCCTCTCCCACCCCAATCCAGAGCTGCGATTCCCTGATCACTTCTTAGGCAACTGCCTTGGAGTTTTTTGTATTTGTTGCCAGGAAGACAACAAATTAACTCTGATTCCCAACACACTCCTTGCCATCCGCCCCAAACTTACCCCTTCACATGTCTTCTTCCTTCAACCTGTTCTTAGATTGCTCTTTCAACTCTGCAATGATATGTGAAACCACGTAACCAAGCCTGATAAGAAATATAAATGCAACAAGAGTAAACAGATGAGTGAAGAACATAAACCGCGCTTTGTGAGGTTTGGCTTTAGGGTCTCAGAGGGTGATTTCTCTTACATGTATGTTCCAGAGAAATGAAATTACCCTGCCTTTGGCCTCCAGAGCTCTCTCAACCATCTATTCAGCTGTCATTCACATTTCAAAGCAAATCGTGTTCATTTTATTAAAAAGTGATTTACAAAACGTTGCTACAAATAAATAGAAGGTGAAATAGAATAATGCTATGTGTTTTGCTTGAATATATTTGTTGATCAATTAAATTGGCTTACAAGCTCAATGTTAAGCAAACTGTATACATATATGTGCAAGTGTAAATAGCCTACAGTCACTAATCTCTCATTTGTTATTACCAAGGGGCTAACTCCTAATTACAGATGAAAAAAATGTTTCTTTTTTATACTACAGTAATAAAAATGCCAAGTTTAACATGCATGAAACTAAGAAAGCCAATGACACTAGATACTGAATTTATATCACGTTGTCCTTTGAACACCCAACAGGAATAAAATGCAAAATGCAGATACCATTCAGTGCAAGAAAAAATGCTTTAAATAGAAAGGAGTTCAGAGGAAACTTAAATAATTCTCATTTTACTTCACTACTTTTTTTGACGTCTTCTTTCCCTGGGTGGCCCCATAGTAGTGAGGACTCTCTTAACAATATACCAGTTTTATCTGAAAGATCTAATTTACACTTACCTCCCATAATCAATGAAGCCTTAAGTCAAGGCTAGTTTGGGGTCAGACTGGTTTTTTCATTCATCTTTCTTACTGATCTGTAGATATTCCACTAACGTAGACTTTTATTTCTGAGGTAAACATTTTGCTAAGTAGTCACGGTTCATGTAAGCACATCAACAACTCCTTGCTAATTTATCATCATTGGTCAACTGACCTTCACTGGGTAAGCTAGGTCCTTCCTTCTTTCACGGTACCATGGTATCAGCAGTAGCAGTAAGTATGTATTACTTCTTCTCATCTGCACCCTGGGAAAGTGAACCCTCTTTTTAGAGTCCAAATAAACTGATTAGGTTACATAGCTGCTGATATATTTGGAAAAGATAAATTGTTTTATGTTGCAATGTTTCCACTATAGTAGAGTATGCAGGTAAGTCAGGAGTATAAATTACAAATTTAAATATGCTTGCTCTGTATGCAGAGGCATTTATAAAAGGGAATGAGATGATATTATAAGATATTCACATTCCAGGGGTGCTGTATATTTCCTAGGTTATTAATATCCTTAGCTACATTTTTGAGGACTACTACCAAACAAAAGAATTGTAGGCAATTTTTAATTACTAAGTATGCTGTTTTCCTTTGCAGCAACATTTGTAAAAATCATCTGATTTATTGGTACAATCATTTCTATCTATTGGGTGGTTTGTGAGAAGTATATTACTTGAAATGCTATGCTTGCAGAATTTTTTTCCTTTTCCTATATTTTGAGGAAAGCATTATGTTTTTAATTAAATTGTTTTAGAGAATAAGTGGGTTAAACACCATGTTCTTAATAAACTCCATATCTTTCTCTAGTCTCTATAAGGTGCTGAAACATGCCAGTAAGCAATTTCTTAATCTAGAAAATCATTTCAGCAGCAAAGATCAGATTTTCTGACAATGGAAGGTAGAAAAATTGTTCTCAACTGGGGATGAGCTTGCCCCCTAGGGGACATTTGGCAAAGTCTGGAGACACTTCTGGTGGGGAGGAGGAGGGGGAGGGGAGTGTATGCACTACTGGCAGGTAGTGTGTAGAGGTCAGGGATGCTTGCTCAGCTCCCTACAGTGCAAAACACAGCAAAGATTTACCCAACCCAGAATGTCTGTGGTGCTGAGATAGAGAAACTGTGGTCTAGAATCCTATTTTAAATAAAATTGCAAAATGAAAACCATTGAGGTGGGTTGAACTTTACATGCTGGACTACCATCCCTTTCAAAGGTGAGAATGTAGCAACCCTAGAAGAGGAATTTAACTAGGATACAAGAAGAAAGGAAAACTTTGTTCCTTTGTGTTCCAAGCCTCATTAAGAAATACAAATGTGTGAACCATTCCATTATAGTGAATCACGACCACATGTTCATTAGTTCCTACAAATTGTCTTATTTGTTATTCCTAACTTTAATATGCTGTAAATTAAGGTATGGCGTCACCACACACAGCGAAATTTCTTTTTCCCTTTTCTACTAGTGCATAAGCTGATGTTTGAATGTGGTCTTTAACCTGTGAAAATACATGCTACCCTTCTGCCTTTTACTTTGCTCATTGAGCATAGCTTTTAAAACAGGGTGATAATTTAAAGTAAATATTCTTCTAAACTTTTTTCTTGTTCAAACCCAGCAATATGACAAAAGAAAAAACTGAAAAACTTTGATAGTACTTCAGAATAAAGAATTTTTTATATTTCATAATGATTGAATTTATATAAATTCATTAATTTATATAAACATTATTTTATATATTATGAAATAATATATAAAATAAAATAATATATAAAATAATTATGAAATAATATATAAAATAAAATAATATATAAAATAATTGATTTTATTTTATAAACATTATATACAAACATTATATAGACATATAAATAAACATTAATTTATATAAATGACAAAAGAATGTCAGGTTTTTTTCAGGATATACTCTGGTGCATTCTCTTGCCACTTCATTCTTTCATTCTGTCTTACCCATCTCTTTCATCCTGACTTGATCCTGGTTTCTCATAGCTTTTCTTAATATTTTTCCCACTGATAACTGCTATATATTACAAAACCTTTCTTATAGCTTAGAGGGTAGACAAATTATCTTGGATAACTCACTTGATTTCTTACAAGTCTCAGTTTCCTCATCCATACATGGGAACGCTTCTACTATCTCTCTGAAGGGGTTATTGTGTATATATGGGAAAGTGAAAGCTCAGAAAGTGTCTGGTTCACAAAACAGATATTCATTAAATAAAGCTATTATTTCTTTTTGAAAAAGTCAGAGCAGAATTTTGATACCCCATACTCATCAAATATTTTAAACACCTTGTATCTGCTTGGCACTATTCTATGTGCTTGGGATACTTCAGAAAACAAAGCAGATGAACACAAACAAATTCTGCTGTCATAGAACTCACACACACACACAGACATACATGCAAAGGCAAATGCACACACAGGTGAAAACACACGCACCCACAATGATAATATAAACATCCTGCAGCTCTTCCCTTATTTATTTTAGAAAATAAATGAGAGTAAGCTCTCCTCTTCCAGCTGGCCAAAGTGGTATGATCAAAGACAGTTACAGAATTCTGAAGGAAGACTTTTTTTTCAAATACCATTTATTTTGGGTTTTAAGGAAAATAAAGGTGTATTTCAAAAAATATATGATCTCTCTTAAGGAAAAAAAAATCACACAAAAGGCCAATAGGTACCAAGCCATGGGGAAGGAGGGTATTGGCTTTTTTGGTACTATTTTAATAGCTAGCAAGATCACTGAAGGAGAAATATATCCACAAATATACTTACTGCTGTTGAGTATTAAAATAAACAATTCGTAGACTGCAAACAGACCAGGCGAATGAGAGTGCAACACAATTGCTCAAATATATATATATGAAAGGGGAATAAAAGCTCGTTAAAGAATATAGGAGCTTTTCATGACTTCTTGGTTGGGATTTTTTTTTTCCCTTAGAGCTTTGCTGTCCATCTGCCTGAAATAATTCCCCTGCCTCTTTTCACCTGGCTGGCTCCCCCTCATCCCTTAGCCCTTAGCCGAAATGTCCCTTGAGAGAGACCTTCTCTGACTACCCTATCTAAATTAGGTGCCTGCACCCACCACCCTCCCTGATTCATCCTCTCTTTGTCTGTCTTTCTCTCTATCCATCTATCTATGTATCTGGATATATTTTCAAATGTCTTTCTACCCAACTTGACTCAAATTTCTACAAAGGGAGAGATCATTTTACATTGTCCACCTTGAGTTTTCTAGAGCCTAGCACCTGACTCATACTTTGCCCTCAGTGAATGTCTATGGACTGGAGAAAAGCTACTCACTCAGGGTACATTGACTGCCAAGAGCCCTGAGCTAATCAAAGCATGCTTCCTTTAGTTTTGTTGATAAGGTGAATATGCCCTGCCCCTGTTGCTCTATGTGCAAACACATTGCATTATTTGACCTCAGTCTATTTTTCTATGTGTATGTGGTATAAAATGAAAAATTCCTGGTATGGTGATGAATCTCCTAAGCCAAGCAAAGAACCAGGAATAGATAAGGTTACTTGGAAGAAATTTGTCTTGCAACATCTTCCAAGAGGAAAATGAAAGGACCTATGATTACTCTTATTTAGGACTGCTCGAGCTAGATGTTGGCCTCTAAACCTCAGCCATTTGCCTCAATCACATTTTAGTGACATGACCTTGCTGATACTCCCCTCCAGAGATGGAGCCTATTTTTCCTTCCATCCAACCTGGATTGAACATGTGACTTGCTTTGACCAATGGAACTTTGGCACGTGTAATGTAAGCAGAGACTTGAAAAGTGCTTGTGTTTTGGGGCTTGCTCTCTTGATGGTCTTTGCGCCCTGAGACCACTACGTGAAGAATCCAGTGAAGAAAAATGCTGATCCATCACAGCTGAGAGCCCCCCAGGCTGACCAGGCTGACAACCACCAAACTTGTGAGTGAAATGATGATAGATTATCCAACCTCAAATTAAGGAACTTCCCAGCTAACCCACACAGTCATGAAAAGTAAATGAATTCTGCTGTAAGCCACTAATTTTGGGAGTGGTTTATTAAGCAGTCAAAGCTAACTGATACAGTCACAGATAGCATGTTACTATGTGACTGGTCCAGGATTATATAAATTGTAAGTTGGGCATTAGTATCCTAAGACTGTCCAAGGTATAAAAAGGGACTTCCTAATTCAAATTTGGGAATCACTGCATTCTAAAGCATTTTCCACTTCGAGATTTGCAAAACAAGCTATGTATTAAAATTTTGAGAAACCATGCAGTTAAAAAAAAACTGGCTAAAAAATATTAAAGATACCCCCTCTTTTCAAACTTTCAGGACTCCTTGATATTATCATCATTGCTGAAATCCTACCCTGAATGTAATGGCAAGGGGACTGGACAGGAACCGTGATATCTTGGTTCTGGTTCAGGGTGTAGCATTAAGAAAATGTAGGGCCTTTCACAAACCTAATTTGGTAAAATTAGATAAAATGAGAGACATAATTCCATTCCTGAGTCTCTTAGGTAATCATCAACCTATTCATGTCACCTTGGATGGAAATTTAAATGAGGCATTGACACTTTGTTTTCTGTATTATGTTCTGTTTTTGATGAGTCATGACAACTCTGAAGTGGCAAATCATCCATTCATCTCAAAATCTTTTTTGAGAGCCTGCTATAAGTCAGGTACTATCCTGTGGGCTGGGGATGTATTCGTGACCAAGCCTCTCTGTGACAGCTTGTATAAAATAGAGATGGACTGTAAATCTGCAAAGAACGGGCTCATATAATGCCAGGTAGTAACAAGGACTG